TAACTAACCTCCTATCCCGTAAAAATATGAAGAGGAAATTGGACATGCTCTCATCATATGTAAAAACCTCAATTCATTTCCGACAAACTAAATAAAAATTAGAGCCACTTTCGAATCAAAAAAATTCAAAAATCCAGTACCAGCTGACAGTAATTTCTTGATTCACAGCAGCTCGTTTCTCTAGCAACAACACCAGGATATGAATAAATGCAAAGTTTAAGAAATGAAAAACTCACACCCAAAAAGATAATGTTATAATAGAAGATAATACCAATTTGCTTTGATACTGCTTGGTGGATCCAATAAACGAGAGTAATATGGCAAGAGAAAAATAAACAATCAAAAGTACCAAGATTTATGTGGAAAAACACCACGGGTAGAGGAAAAGAATTCAACATAAGATGAAAGAATACGAGACCTTGTGCTTACAAGTTGTTCTAAATCACAATGAAGAGCAAACTATATGTAGAGTAGTGAACCCTAATTATAGTTTTATAGATAGAAAGAATATCTTAAAATTCGTCAAATCGCGAACAAGGCTTGGGACGAATAACACTGACAATCTAACGGCAAAGCTTGCCCATAGCGGGGGACACACGGCTCTCGAGCCCCCTACCTGGCACAGAGAAAGAAGATTCAAAAGTTCTCCACCTGGAGATGAATTCCATTACAAGGAATAAAAATTAATTCTTTAAAAAGTTCTACGACAAAACTCTCCACCTCTTCTACAAAGCCAAACTATGATCAACTGAATCCAAGCATTGTTCAATAGGATTGCTGTGGGTACCAACGTTGCTTGAATTATCACCACAGCAACAAATTCACAAAGAACTCAAAAATAATTGCCATATAGGGCACTAACATTCACTGTAACAGAATCAACACAACTATCTACTTCTTCCTTGCTAGACTCAATACCTATGACCACATTTAAAGCATAATCAACTAAATCAACTTTCTCAGAGTAATTACAAATCTTATTATTGGAATTGGACTTCGATATGTCCCTCTTATAACCACCATGAACAACAAGGCCTTGTCCATGAGCATCAGATCCAGCAAGATGGTTCATCTTCTCCTTTGAAAACATAGCATCATAAACTTTTTCAATGGTGAGAGTATCTTGATTGTATAAGATCGTGTCTCTAATGAAATATATGATATGGGTAGCGAACACCAAAATCAACCATAAATCTTCTTCATCATACTTGATCTCCAAAGTCTCCAAATCAGAGACAATTTCCTTAAAAATATCTTGGTGATCTTCCGGTGATGTACCTTGTGTCATACGATGAGAATACAATCGTTGCTTCAAATGAAATTTCTTGGTTAGACTTTTCATCATGTATAATTGCTCCAACTTCAACCAAAATGCAGTGACAATATTCTCCTTTAAAAAGTCTGTAAGAATTTGATTCGAAAGATGAATTTGAATTTGTGATCGGGCCTTTCGATCCCTATGTTGTTTCTACTCCAATGTCCAATTTGAGGGCTTTTTATCAAATCCTAATTTGAGCGAGCACTGCTCGCATCTCTACATGCTATAACTAAAATCTTGTGTTGTGAAGTTAGCCATTCAAGAAAGTAATCCAAGTACAAGGTCCAGGCTGATAGTTATCGTCGTCGGGTCCTTTTCGAAGTTGGTGATTTTGTGTGGGCAGTGTTAACTCGTGATCGTTTTCCCGAAGGGGAATACAATAAACTGAAGGAGCGGAAGGTTGGTCCTTGTGAG